ATGACCAGATGGGCGAGGGCTTCTGCCTGACTTGCGTGACTTACGCCACCTCAGACGTGACCATCAAGACCCACTGCGAGGATGAGCTCTGAAGCTCTCCAATTTTGCAACTAGACCTTTGACCCTAAACCTGGCGGCAAAACCTGGACCCCTGCCACCCGAAGCCTTGCAACAATCAGCAGAGATAAACATCAAACAAACCAAGACTGCTTACAGATGCTTCGAAGCTCTCAGAGTTTTCACACATTTCTCGGCAGCTCTCGAGCCAAGAGCTGGCCACGCTCGGCCGCGTGGAGATAAAGAACCGCTGCAGCCGCACAGCTGTGTTGCTACTGGTGGTCTGCTGTATGCTTATAGCAATCTTACAGAGCTCTTTTGTGCTTCATAGTCGTCTTCATAGTCGTACTGCTGGGTACTTTCATGCCTGTAGCTGCTGGCTGTGCTTGCTCTCGTTGCCGCTGCCTGCTTTGCAGCCAGCTGTACAACAGCACGCACCAAGGACGAGCCCAGTCATTTGGGTGACGGCGACGGCCTTGGCTGTGTGTCGGGCAAGTTTCGGAAGGAGAGAATCGGGTGTGAGCGTAGTCCGGAGCAGTGCACAAAGGTTGGGGTTTAGGGTTTAGGAACCCTAAACCCTAAGCCCTAAACCCTAAGCCCTAAACCCTAAACCCTAAACCCTAGTGAATGCACGCATGCAGAGCTGCAGCGCAAGGCCGCCAAGCTGGAAGAAACCCAGGGCAACGAGAAGATGGTACGGGGCCTAAGCGCTGGAAGCGCTGCAACCCTGGAGTTCGCCAGTCTACTTAGGGGGCATTTCAAGGCTTTAGAGCTTTTAGGGCTTGAGGGTTTTAGAGTTTAAGTTTAGGTTAGAGGACAGGAGCCTCGATAAGAGCAGCAGCAGACATGACCAGCAAATTCAAAGCTGTCCAGCACTTGCAAGCACCCCTCGAAACAGCACGTTGTCGGAAGTGCCATCGCTACTCTCATCCCGAGCTACAAGCATAGCAGATGAAACTTACAGTCTGATCATAGCTTGCGATGGAACGTCTGGCAGTTCCTTGACTCCCCCTCGCAAAATCCAAACCTCAACCTAGGTGGAGCTGATTTTGACGCGAGCCATTGACTCCCTGGCCGCCAATGGCGTGACACCGGACCGCGACATGCAGGGGGCTCGGTGTTAGTGGGTTAGGTTGACAGAACAACGAATGCATCCTCTCTCTCGTGTACTATCCCTCTGCTTCTTTTTCTACGATCTTGCAAGCACGTGTCAACCTTTATGCAGTCGTCGAAACCGAGCCCAGGTGGCTGAAGCAAGCGGAAGAGGCCAAGACCCGCAGCCCCGGGCTATTCCAATCCAAAGGTTCGTTTGGCCGCCCGAAGGCAGAAGACATTCTACGGGAAGTACATCGTGACTATGCTTTAAAATTAGGAGATGCTGCCATCCGGTTGAGCCGTGGCGGTCCCAGACTTGCCGTGCAGTCAACCTACTGTTGACATTTGCGACTAAAGCACCTATGTTACACGGATCGCTTCACCACTTGTCGCATTTGCCAGCTCACATCGTGCTACGCAGTGCTTTTTGAGATAGCAGCATTGTGGAAACCGGCACCTGCACTGTTCGAGTATTTGGCATCCTACGGCAGGCAGAGAAGACGGGCTTCATCAAGACGTGCCAGGCCATCATCAAGGTGACCATCAAGGCTTGGCACCGCTGACTTTCTGAGTGTGTTTCCTTCAAGGCTTGGCCAGGTTGCCCATCCGCGTTCGGTCGATGATTTTCTTGGGGATTCTAGGGCATTGCCTGAAGGACGTTGTCCAAGCCTGTGCCAGCCTGCCCGGATTAGCTGTTTGTTTTCAGAGATGTTCTGTGTTTCGGCTTACTTTCATGCAGAAAGACTAGCCAAGGCCAAAAAGCGATTTCGATCTCATGAAGCAGCTCTCTAGAACATGGGCGTTGTATGACTGCGTAATGGTTTTAATGGAGTTTGTTGCGGAGAATCGGGCTTTTTGTTTTTTTAGGCCACTAGGTTTGAGGGTTCTCTTGGAGGCTCAGCAGACTTCACGAGTAGTTCTTTCGAAACGGGATTACCCCAGTTAGAGCATGTATCAAATTAGTGCCACCTGCGTCCGGATCCTCTGATCCTCCGTGCAGCGTGCATACAGACTAAGTCGTAATCTGTCCATCGAATTTGGGTGCACAGTACTACCCCAGATTGCCAGTCTGCCTGATTAAACCTCAAACCCCCAAAAACAAATCCAAAGCAACCTGAAACCCTAGACCGCGAAAGCGCAGCAACACAATGAAGCTGCCGAAAGGTCGGTGTCGACGAAGATGTCAAGGGCATGAAGCAGAACTGGATCCAGGCACGTTGAGGGCTTATGACATAGAGACACAGACGTTGATGAATAGCTCTGAGTTTCCCGTGGCCTTCACCTGCGGATCGTCATTTAGGATCCCTGCCGCAGTTAGACGGTATGCCATAACTACTGGATGTTGTGTCCCTGGCTGGGAGTACAAATACTTCGAATCGAACAGAATAGTCCGCTGTGCCGGTGTTGATTCCCACTTGAGCCTTTTCTCCGCCAAGCGAACATGTCTGATTCTAGGGTTTGGGCTTTCCTAGATCTAGACGGCTGTGGAGAATAGGGAAGCAGATGGATTCGGGCGAAAGAACAAGCAAGAACTATACTAAGTAAACCCGCCTTAGTCAGTGCAGACCAGCAAGGCCTAGTGCCCCCAAAACTCCGCTCCAACAACAGTGAGGGCTCTAGAGGCATAACCAAGCTGTTGGAGAGCTGGCAGACGGACAACTTCACGACAAGTCTGAAACGAACTTCGCCCCACGTCCCCCAAGCTGCACGCAGGATGCAGATGCTGCAATCAACAGAAACTCCATCGAGGCCACAGTCACTCTTGGGACTAGCATGCCGGGCTGCAGGGTTCTTGACAGCCAGAAACATGGCATGACTGAGTTACAGCGGCGGCACCAACGGAAGCTTTCCGGTGCATTGTAGTCCTGACGTGCCACTGGACCGCCTGTAGGGATAATTGACTTGATCCAAACACTTAAACGTGGAGAGTTTCAGGGTTTCAGGCTGTGAAGCTCTATCTTGCTAGAATTAACAATATGCACACACAGGTTCTTGTAAAACCCGCAGATCCTTCTGCAGATGTGCAGTAGCTTCCCTTTAGTAGTTAGTAGTTTGACATCTGGCTTCGACCAATCGGCAGATTGGGCATGATTCTTCTTCTGAAGGACACAGTTTTTTGCACTCTTGCGGGGTCAGGGTTTCGGATGTTGGAAAAGTTTTGACTGCGAATCACGCAGCCTTGAAGGTAGTGTTCTAGGGCACTCAGCCACCTGGCCATGCAGTTCTCATCCAGCCAGCACAATGCTCGAGGTCGCCCGGGCCATCTACAACAACGCGGTCATGCACCTGAAGGGCAAGAAGGCCAGATACTGGTTGAACTATGCCACTTGAGACTGGGGGATGTTATCTCTGGATTACAGAGATATCTCGCATCCCAAGTGATGTTCTCAAGCGCCGCGAAGTTGCAGTTGAGCAGCGGTTGACTGTGGCCCCAAAACACCGAGCTCTAGGTTGCTACCTTCCCTTCCTGTAGATAGAAGGAATCATCGTACACACAGCAACTGTAAGAATAGTAGCAGTATTCATCATCACAGCCATGATGGTCCATGGACAGTCGATTGCCTCAAGTCTCCGCGTGGTGGTGACAGCATTCAGGGTTCTAGAATCCAAGGCCACGCGTCACTTTTTCACATTCCAACCCAGATATACGCTCTGTTGCCAAGGTCCATATGCAGTAAATGCAGTACTGGGCACTCCTCATCGAGCTCGACCCTAAATCCTGCGCAATGAACCCCGACCACAAGAGGACGCCAGATCTAACTCTGAACTCCACATGACCACCACACACGGTACACCATCAGACCCGAACCACAAGCCCGATCCTTCCAAAAATAGTCGCGTCCACATAACCCAGTGGCCGACGCCGTCAAAAATTGGACCACCTGCCCGTGTGTCTTTAAAGGCAAGCCTATCAAGCGCACACAACCTACGTCCTACGTACGTCCCGCTTTGTCCAGGGCCTCTGGCTCCGCTTGGCCGAGCTGGAAACCAAGTACGGCAACGCGGAGTCACTGGACAACGTGGGAAGCCGACGTGCGGGTGTTGGGGCTTAGGGGATTTTGAGTTTCAAGTTGAAGCGTTGGGGAAGTGTATGGTGTTGAAATTACAGCCTCTTGTTAAGTTGTGGCATTGAGGGTATTTCGAAAGCAGGGTCCCATCTTTAGATTGCAGTATATACCTTGCCAAAGTGTGGAACAGGCCAAGCAGGTCGGACCCTTGTTATCTTCTTGACCGTCAACCCCTAAACCCTGGACCATCAACCCGAATCCTCGAGCTTAGCCATGAGCTTCTTCGCACCCTTCACTCACCAGAAAAAAGGCTCTTCCAAAGCCTTAATCCTAAACCTTTCACAACAAAAGCTCAAAAAGGGAATGCGACTCAGAGCTCCCTTCTCAGGTGCTGCAGCGAGCAGTGACTTACTGCCCACACGCCGAGATCCTGTGGCTCATGGTTCGGGGCTCGGCTGTCCTACCCTCTGGGTTGTGGATAGCATCACTCCTCTTAGTCTTCTTAGTACTTGTTTTGCTACTGCTACTTTCTGTTGATACGAGAAGTTCCATATTTCAGCGCCATCACCATCACCACAAACACTGCCTTTCTCAACTCTGCGACCTTTTCGACTCCAAATCTCACGTTGACCTACCCTGCTAATGATGCTATTGAAGTTGCTAGCTTGGGCCCTTGCGTTACGAACCACACAAATTGTCTCAGTCTCAGTTACCCTTTATGTTGAGTTCAAACTAGGGCTGTTGTTATTAGTGTTGTTGTTGCTGTTGCTTTGCTGCAGCAGCAGCAGCAGGAGTAGAAGTAGAAGTAGAAGTAGTAGTAGTCGTAGT